TAAAAGGCATCCAAAAATAAATTGTGCAGACGTTTCAACACACAGATTTTGTCATAGAAATCTTGCCTTATGTAAGGTCTATGGAAAGTAAGTTAAGGCATGTGATTTCAGGGAGTGCAATATCTTTTTCTTGTCAGGGAGAAAGCTGCAATAAAATCACTTGGTTCACACATCTGATTAATGTCAATAGTATGTATTGTTTCCTTGTTCTTTCTCAATACTGAAGTATGAGATTAAAAAACCAAGCATGACCTGGAGAAAACATGGGGAAGATTGGTGTTACGTCTAGGACTTGACTCTTTCTTGGTTGAGGTTTACTTAAAATTAAAAAAGGATCAAGTGTGCTAGTCATTTTGTGTTGTTCTAAAGCCAGATATCCTAGCTTTTGTGTTCTCACTGCTGTTAGACAATTCCCGTTAGACAATTAGGAGAAATGAAGGCCTGAGCCTGCAGTTTCTTTCTGTGCAGGAGTAAGTCTGCCCAGCTAGAATAAACCGCAACATTGGAGCCTGAGGAAAGTCTTTACAAATAAGGGGATAATCTTTGAGGAGTTAACTATAGTTTTTTGTTGCAATGACAATTGGTACTGTTTTCCCGGTACGATGTTGTGTTAGGCTATTGTTCTCTCCAGCATGGATTTGTTTAGCTGAACTATAAACTCTGTACAACTTTATCTGAAATCATTTAACAAAACATTTTGTGAACGCTGTCTTTTTTTTTTTCTTTCCCAAGGCAGGGATTTGTGTTTGCCTACATGTATCACTGAGAATCAGCCCACTGTTTCTTTAGAAAGCAAACTAGTGAGAAGTTGAATGCATAGGCAGCAGTTTAGCACGGAATTTTTGAAGGGCTTCTGTCTCTCAAAGCATGTGGCTTTATTAAATTGTGAGCAGATCTAGATTTTTTTTTTCCCTGTTAGTGACTGCTCTGAGTTCAATTTCTTTTTATCACAATATGTGGCCAGTTCAGTTTCCTTCTCTACAAGTCATCCTTTCTTGCTTATTTTTAGCCTCACTGAAATTCAAACAATCATCTTTGTTTCTGTTCCTGTTTGTATACTGATATTGTTGGATAACTTCAAAGATGTCAAAGCAGTTAGAAGGGGTATTGTTGATATAAGCTCCCTCTGCTGGTTAGTTCTGCAGTAGAAATAAAGCTATATGGTGTATAGTTGTTTATCACTGAATCAAGCAGCCAAAATGAAAAGACAGTTAAAAGCAGTGACATACAGCGTTTCTAAAAGCAGCTCTATACCAGTGCACCAAGTTTAAGCTTATGAATTTTATACTTATAAGGTTTTAATTGCAGTTAGCTTAAAATCTAGATGTTGATATGTAAGTGACAGATACTCCTTAGAACTGCTGCTGCCATGTTGCATACAGAATCTAAACAATAGCTTGAGAGCTAATATATTGAGACAGCTATTTGCATACAGATTAAAATAACTTCGTTACTTTGGACTCCATCTGGTACATTTGTTACTACATTGCACTTACAAACTTTCAGTTAAAGTGCAGTCGTTGCATTGTAGCGAGGTCCAGGCCTCTATGTGATTATCAGGAGAAGTAAACAATAAACTTTGCTCTTTTATTGATGCAGTACAGGAAGGGCGAGTGAAGGACACTGTTTCTTTGTGCAACTGCTTGCAGTGACATGACTGAAGTCTCCTAGATCAGCCTTTCATGGCAAGGATTGGCCCAGAAGAAACTCTGCGCGCGCCTTCCCTTCCCCGTATTCGGACAAATGTTGCGCAAGGATGAAGTTTGAGTGTGATTGGTGTGAGAGGTCAGTTGCAATATTGCTGAGTGTCTACCTGTTTGGAAAGTGTGCAGTATGTTTTGGAGGATGCTAAAATTAATTGGGTTTCTATTTTGATAACACGGAGTTACTTTGACTGACATCTCCATTTACAGTACTATATGTAAATATGTATTCCCCAAATACTTTTTTCCCCACTATAGACCTTTTTTTCCCCTCCTGTGGCAGCTAGAACTTTTATTGGAAAACTACAAAAGTGGCTAAGGTTGTTAAGAAATCCATCTTTAGAGAGGAAAAAGGTGGTGCTTATGCTTAGCTTGGGCATTTATTTTCTGTGGAAAATGGAGAATAAGTAGTTAAGACAACTTTCTATGTGCAGTTAAAGCTAAGAAACAGTAGTCCATGTATAAACCCCAGAACTTTCAGATTTGTATGTTATTTGACTCATTTAGATGTCAGCATAAACAAAAATAGCTACTGTAAAAATGTTGCAACTGAATGATGATAGGTACTCCAGCAAATGGCAGCATCTAAGGACAATAGTTATAGAGAAGGGGAAAAGGTTGTGTGTTTGGGGAGAAACAGTACATATTATATAAAAAGCAAGAAGTGTTTTTTGTTGTTTGCTTGTTTTTGTTTTTAAGGATTTTTGTTGCTAAACCTAGAGAGACTTTAGGATTGAGATTTATTAAAGAAACTAACCTGCCAGTGGCAGATGAGTTGTCATTAAAAACCTTTTAGGGAAAACCTTTGAAATAACTTTGTAGGATTGTAGTAACAGTTGCAACCGGAAGTATATAGCATTGTTTTAGATAAAGCGGTGTTACACCTGCCAAAAATTGTAAGGTTCTTCATCTGTGGATGGAGTTCATTGTTCACGTCTTCAGTCTGGAAAGTCTTGTGTGCTTGAAAGCTTTTCTTTTATCTACTGGTATTAGTTTGTCTGACAAGATACCCAGTTGAGCTTTGAGGTGTGGGAAATGTGGTGTAACTCACATAGGTTTTGAAAGTGCTTGGAAAGGTTTTGTCAAAGAGGAGTGGTTAACTGAGTCATACAGTAGTGGAAAATAAGCCAAGCAGATTAAAGACCTAGTGCAAAGATCAGAGAGAGAGAGCTGAAGTAGCACATTTTAAATGGGTTACCTTTAGAATAGGTTCTCAGCGTGCTGTAAAACTTGTTAATGTTAATTTACTAGGACATACTCCATCAAAATAACATTTTGCCTTCATGTCTTAAATTGATAGGATGTGTTGAAAAGAACTTCAGTGAAGAAAATATTTTCCTTAATGTCCAGTTTATGACTCGTTTGTGCCTTGCCAGTTGTATATTATATGAGGCAAATAGGTAGAGTCAGAAGGGGCAATTACTTGGTCTGCTCAAAAGAACAAGTCATCACTGTCTCCTTTTAATTGATTGATAGTGTCATATGTTAAAAGATTTGCCAAAGTGAGGTAACAAATCTTAGCAGCTAACTAGCCTAAGTTTGTAACTGGACTAGAAATTAGGAAGGCTTAAATGCATTCAAATCTGTTTAGCTGTGTAGAACGTGCTGTGATCTTGGCATCAGGTAGACTTTCAAAAGCTGTTCTACAAATACATCTATTATGAATGTGCCATCTGGAGACTTCAGGTGTTTTCAAGACCTGCTTCAAATGTGAAATGTAGAGTCAAGTCAGGCTCTTCGTGAGAGAGGTGCCTATAGAACAGAGCTGGATTTGCTGGAGCAAGGTTACGAAATTTGATAAGGAGACAAGTCTAGGTTTTGTTTGTGTTGGATTTTTTTGTACACATATTTCCACTGTGACCTCAGTGTTTCTCACACTTTTTAAAAATACTAATAATAAACCCCCTCCTTCCAAAAAACATCTGCACTGAACAACCTGTATTTTAGGATTGACTGCTGCTCTTGAATAGCTTTCTGAAGCCATGTCTTGGTTGTCAGCACAGTTTTGAGAACCAAGCATCAGAAGCAAAGGAAAGAGGCTCTCTTGTGTTCTCACTGTTGTCCGTATCTGATACCCAGGCATCATCAAGAAGCAGCCTGACTTGAAAGCAACAAAGCAAAGACTAGGGGGATGGGATAGGACTGGAGCAAACAAATGAAAAGGAAGGAACTAAATGTTGATGAGAGGATGACATCTGGATAGAGACTGCATTTCTTACCCATTAAATGATTCCTTAGCCACCTTTTTTTTTTTTTTTGATAATTTCTTGTGATTTGTATCATGTCACTGACATTCTGGGGAATTCTCCACCTGGTGCTTTTCAGATTTCACAAAACTTGCTGATACCTGTGAACGTGGGGATCATAGATTGTCAGTAGCAGAATCCCTTCAGGGTATGAGCAATGTTACAATTTTTATGTGCAGGATTGAAGGCCGAAATAAGCTCTGTAGGTTTGTGTTGACTGTCAGCTTTGTTCTTGAGCTGGTACAATTGCCCTGAGGAGACTGGGAAAAAGGAGCATTGTGGAAGGATGGATTGTATACATCTGTGTTCATTGACAGACAGTGTATATATACCCAATCATGTTTCCAGCTTTTAATGTGGTCCAGCTTGTTTCTAAATAACAGATTATGACAATTTCACTTAATCACATTTCTCTGATGTGTTTCACTGCTTAATTGTACAAACTCCTGAGTTTGTCTTGTGCTTTTGTGCTCTCACAAGTAGTTTTTGACCCTAATAACAGCTTTTGATTATGCAAGAGATGGCAGATTTGGGTCATATGCTCATCAGCCCCAGCTTTATTTTTCATTTGCAGGTTTCACATATACGTCAACAGCTTGCTTACATGGCATATATAAGTGGTAAGACTACAAAAAAATCACACGAGTGAAAATTTTGCAAATGGGAATTTCAGCTGAAATTCCCTCTGAAAATGCCCTCAGAAATCCACTCTGCCACCAGTGGGTATTTGCTAGATCACAAGCTTTTAATAAGTTTGCTTGTACAACAGCAGATGTTCAGTTGTACTGAATACAGTTTACTTAAATATCATGTTAAGAAAAGATCTGTACTTCCAATGTCCTACCAGTGATTTGCTATTTGTTCACCTTACTACATGGGAATATAATTACATATTTCATATACAGTAGAATGTTATACTTTCAGAGCCACAACACGTCTTTTCTCTCATTTAAAGGAAATTATCTTATTGCCTGTTGATGAAAGTGCAAAATACACTTTTAATAAGCTTTTGGTTTTATTACAGCAATGTCATCTTACTTGTAGAAACATCATGACACACAGCAGCATCATGGTGGATGTAGGCAAGTGGCCAATGTTTACCTTACTGTCAGCTCAAGAAATAGCATCTATTCGGAAAGCATGTGTATTTGGTACATCAGCCAATGAAGCTATATACATAACGGACAATGATGAGGTAAGGCTGTAATAAAGTGGAACCTATACTCTACAATTAGTTGTTTTCGCAGTCCACTGAATACTTGTAAAATTAATAGCTTCTCAAAAGCATTGTGTGAGATTTGTGTATTTAAAAACATGTTGGATGTAACTTGTAAGGTGGTTTTTGGGGTTTTGTTTGTTTGTTTTGTTTTTTGTTTTTTTAGTCTTGTATGGGGCTAATATAGATGGAGTATTTAGAAAACTTACAAATGACAAAAGCTAGGATGAATTACATGCACTTTTGAAGACAGAATTCAAAAGAAGTTGTGGTAGCTTGAAATTAAGTGCAAGCACTTCAGGTATGAAGATATAAAATGAGATTATGGCTTGCTAAGTAACAGTACAGCAGAAGATTATCTGTGGATTTTAATGATTCAGAAACTCAGTGTGAGTTAGCATTGTGCTGCTGAAAGAAAACAAGGCAGATGTTCTAGGATGTATTAATGGGAGGGTTTCTTGTAAGACCAGGTAGAGTAGGATTTTTTTGTTTTTCCTATCAAAAAAAGTCCTATCAAAGCTGCCTGTAGGATGTGCCTCTCACAGTACAGCTGTGGCTGCTGTTTACAAACTGCTTTTAAAAGAAGGTGGTATCTTCCACTTTCACAGTTTAATACTTTTTATAGTACGGTTCCTGCAAATTAGAAGCCTAGCTTCTAGGCCTGCACGGATCTGAAGAATTCAGACTCATCAGTTAACTTCCAGAGTGTCCCCGTGCTGACTCTTGAGCTTGTTAACTTCCATGAAGGAAGTCTCCAGCCCTCAAGAGTCCGTGGCAAAACTGTCATGGCTTTATGAAGACCCGGGTATTACCACATCTGTGCCTACCTGAGTATGAATCACTTAAAATGAGTATTCCTCTGTTTTTCAGGTATTTGTTTTTGGACTGAATTGCAATAATTGTCTGGGAACTGGAGATAATCAGAGCACAATAGTACCAAAGAAATTAGAAGCCTTATGTGGAAAGAAGATTTCCAGTCTCAGTTATGGAAGTGGACCCCATGTTGTACTTTGCACCGAAGGTAGAAAATTAACATTTAGTATAGAAACATAAGTTACAGATTTTAAGTTCCACTTGCATTTAACAAGAATGGATTAAGGTGTAATTGTATTAACTTGTTAATTGGTCAATGTACACTAAGGGGTTCTCACTGGTCTTAAGTGGAACTAAATGTATTCTGTAACAGGTCAAGTAAGTTTCTGTTACATTTCCATTATGTTGCAACTGTAGAGTTTTACTCTATTATTTATGACATACTCAGTCTTACCTGTGCACTGTCATGTATTGCCACAATAAATCTAGAGGTTATACTGTGACGTATGTATATACGAAGTTGTATACAAAGTACATAATTTTTTAGTGTACAGATGATTCTTGTAACAGTTTCACTATTTGTTAATGTCCTTTCACTTTCATGTTGGCATTTGCTAATTTCTTAGAGTTCTATCTATCTTAATTTCCTTGGAATTTTTGGTGGTTTTTATCACAAACTTAAATATTTTTGCAGATGGTGAAGTGTATGCTTGGGGACATAATGGTTACAGCCAGCTTGGGAATGGCACAACCAATCAGGGCATTACTCCTGTTCAAGTTTGCACAAATCTGTTAATAAAGAAAGTGGTGGAAGTAGCTTGTGGCTCTCATCATTCCATGGCACTGTCGTTTGATGGGGATGTAAGTTGAAACCTGTTTAAACCTCTTAATCTCCTTCTTGAAGTGAATAGTGCAGGTGACCTTGCAATCTGAAGTTCTCTCTTTCTCTACAGTGTAGTTACAATATAACATTTTCTTCTGCTGCCTCAAACTGGGGTCTCCTTTTCTTCAGAGCAGGCTTGAAAACAACCCCCCACCCACCCACAAACCCCAACAAAAAAAAACCCAACCCAACCACAAGAACAAGGGAATAAAAGGCTAGTAAACTCTTGTGGCTTTCATGTTTCATGTCTCACAGGGATGAGACCAGAAAGCTGTGCCACTTGGAGGCCAGAGAATCGTTTGTAAGGTGCACATGTAGCATTGTTATTTGCTTGCAGTTCTGTTATTTAAGGGGTATATTGAGTTGTTTGTATTCACTGGTTAGCCTTTAGTCTGTTTGTTGTAGTCTTCGTGATGTCCACGCTGGTACTGTGAGAGAATGTTGCTCTGCACACCTCTGAATACCTTTGTGTGTAGCTGATGAAAGAGCACTTGGTTTGTATCCAAGTCTCCTTTGTGCTATTTGTTGACATGGCTTAAGGCTATGTGTCACAGGAAACATGTACAATTAGTTTCCAGTTAGTCAGATTTGACGAGCGTGCGTGAACTTGATTAGAGTTGTGTGTTACTGCATGGAGGAAAGCCTGGTTTCAGCTCTGCTTTAACAAAAGAAGAGTTCTAATTTTAAAACCTTCCTAACAATGAAAATGGAAAACACAGTTCTTTCCATCCTGGTAATCTGAGGGTGTCTGTGTTATGATTCAGTATGGAGTCATAGTGCAACAGTAATATAAAGTAGCAAATCAGTACTTTGAGGGTAGGAAAGAGACATTAGATTAATTTAAGTGATCTGTGTTGTATCTGAAAGGAGAGCCTACACTTAGGGAAGATCTTCATGCTGTCATGTTTGACTTGGTTAATCTATAAAATTTGGTTTGCATGTGGGAGGGCGAGGGTGTTCATGTATTAGTTAAACTGGTGGTGCCAGCTGCTGTGATAGCTGCCTGTGATGGCCATGCTGTCTCTTGTAATAAACGTAACATGCTTGAAATCTCAATGGAAGCAAGGAAGTTTCCTTATATTTACCATGGAGTTGATATTTGCAGCTCGCTCGCCATGGTGGCTAGTTAATGTACTATAAATCCATCCCTAGTGTACCTTGCAGTATCTTAGTCTATTTGTGCTCTGAGGTTTTATCTATACCAGAACTGATTATACTGAAAACAGTGAAACGTGTTAAGCAGAGCCTTATTTACAGAAAGATTTGGCTGCAAAAACCCGTGTAACTTGATATATCTGGATGTCATGGTTTATCTGGATGTCATGGTTTGGTGAGCCTCCATCCCTGGAGGCATTTAAAAGACGGGTAGACGTGGTGCTTGAGGACATGGTTTAGTGGTGGACTTGGCAGTGCTAGGTTAACGGTTGGACTCGATGATCTTAAGGGTCTTTTCCAACCTTAACAATTCTATGATTCTATGATTCTAACCCCAGCCAGCAACTAAGCATCACGCAGCCGCTCGCTCACTCCCCCCAGTGGGATGGGAGAGAGAATCAGAAGGGTAAAAGTGAGAAAACTCAGGGGTTGAGATAAAGACAGTTTCATAGGTAAAGCAAAAGCCACGCACACAAGCAAAGCAAAACAAGGAATTCATTCACTACTTCCCATCTGCAGGCAGGTGTTCAGCCATCTCCAGGAAAGCAAGGCTCCATCACGCGTAATGGTTACCTGGGAAGACAAATGCCATCACTCCAAATGTCCCCCCCTTTCCTTCTTCTTCCCCCAGCTTTATATGCTGAGCATGACGTCATATGGTATGGAATATCCCTTTGGTCAGTTGGGGTCAGCTAGCAGTGCTCAGCAGTAACTAAAACATCCCTGTGTTATCAACACTGTTTTCAGCAGAAATCCAAAGCATAGCCCCATACTAGCTACTATGAAGAAAATTAACTCTATCCCAGCCAAAACCAGCACACTGGAGTTTCAGAGATGCATTGTACTTCGAAGTGTTCGTGGAAATACTTGGCATAATTGATTTGTACAGTTGGTTCAGTGCAATTTTAATGCAGTACAAATTTGAAAACGAAGTATCTTAATGATAGACTTAAAGTACTGCAGACATTTGTGCTTCTCTGAGAAAGGAAACTGATTAGCTCTTTGGCATTTTGATCTACCTTCTGAGATGCTCTACCTTAATTTTTTTCCATGCTATTGAAATTAAGATATTTTATAGAGCATCTTCAAATATTCAGTAGGAATCAAAGATCCAGCAAATACAAGTAACAAAAAGCAAAGGACTAATGCTTTCTTTTGTTCATATTACACATGGTAAATGAGTTGTGTTGGTGGGAGGTTTTTTTGTTCTTGTCTTTGGTTGGTGTGTTTTTTTTATTATTTTTTGGTGGTGGAGGAGGTGTTTGTTTCTAATGACTGAGTTTTGGTTTGGTGTTGCAGTTAAACAGGAGGCTTCTGGCACCAAAGGATGTGCTGACTTCACATTAGGGTATCTCTGTCAGTGTGCTTTTACTGACTAGCATGTCTGTGGCTGGGTGTTTCCAAGAGGACAAACTTTTTAACTGGGAGAAGTGCCAGAGGATGAACTATCAGAAACAGTTTTTTGCCAAGCTATGGGTGTATATGCACATAATAAAAATTGAAAGAACTGAAAATATAAAGCTGTAAACTTTTTTTTTTTTAATAGCAAACTACTTCCCTGTCTTCTGGAGTTCTAGATGAAAGGAACGAATATTTTTGGTTTTATTATAATTGGTTTGCCACTGGCAAACTTTGAACTGTCAGAGATGGTGCTTATTTGTTAATGTCATTGTGTAACAGAGTTTTGCTACTGTGAAGCATGGGCTGATGAAACCATCTCCTTTCACAGCTCTTGAAAGATAGAAAAGATGTATGATGAGTGTCCAGCAATAACCTGGTTTAGGGTTCTGTAAAGAAAACTAAATAGCTGTAAATTGGGGAGTTCGCCTTGTCTGGGGAACATATAACATTCTGGCTTGCATTCCTTTTTCCAACGTCATGGAAGTATAAAGACAGTCCACTCACTATGCTCTTTGTCTTATAGTCTAACTTATATTTAATATGGAAATATGTTCCTTTTGTTTCCTCTTGTAGTTAGATGCTCCAGTTCTGTAGCAAGAAGCTGAAAAAAGTGCTATGTTCATATTTGCTAGATCAGGCCTATTTCCTATTGCTGTTTATAATTTTCAGCTGTTGAAAATTATTTTTAAGCATTTTAGCTTGTTAAATAGAATAGTTTACCCAATCTGATGCTGACTTCAGTAAGATAATTTATTACCATCATTACTATTATTGAGGCCTAAACTGCCGGTTTTTGTTTGTTTATTTTTATGGACAGCTGTACGCTTGGGGCTATAATAACTGTGGTCAAGTTGGATCTGGATCTACAGCAAATCAGCCAACTCCTCGCAGAGTTTCAAACTGTTTACAGGGTAAAATGGTAGTTGGCATTGCTTGTGGTCAGACCTCCTCCATGGCTGTAGTAAACAATGGTGAGGTAAGCATTGCTGCATTCTCATGCTCTCTCTCTGTTACCCAGACTTATGAAGTTAATGTCTGAACATGGAGAAATGCTGACATGGAGTGCTCAAGTGATAGAGTTATATTGATAGAGTTATATAGAGTTACATCGATAACTTCTCTGAGACCAATTTAAGGAAAACTCTGCAATTAACCGGAGATGTTATCTTTACACTAAACGTTCCTTCTTATGGCAAAGACTGTATTGGAACATAATTCTGGCTGAGTCTGCAACTACAAGAATTTGAACAGTTGTGTTAAGCATGTATGTCTTCCTTATTTCAATAGATCGTTTAACATATGTCTTAATTAGGTTTTCGAAAGCGTGCACAATTAAATAGTTAATCTTCCTGCAAGAACACACTGACTGATCCTGGTTCTTAAATACATTGCTTAATTGCCAGCAATAAAACCAAATCAAGCTTTTAAACATTGCCCTAGTATTGTGCAACTGTTCGTTTCACATAAGTTTATGGTGCTATTTTGTTTCTAGGTATGAAACCTCAATTTTACTACATTTCACCAAACTTGGAGCATAGCATTTCTTTGTGACTGGAGTGACTGTAAAAGTCCCTGAGGTTGAGATGAGCTTTCATTGTATATACTTTTTGTCTTGATGTGTCCACTGTAACAAAACTAAAGGAAAAATTAGAGCTAAACTGGGGACTTCAGTAATTAGTGAACTAATTCAGTAGCTGATCAGAATAACTAATTTCTTTTTTTCTTTAAAAAAAGAAGTAGTAATAAGGAGCATGGAAGGTGTAAAAGTCAACTAAAATGTTGATGCTATGGGAGAGATTTTGGTGTATTGTAAGTTTATTGCAAAATTCCTAGGGCTTCAAAGACAAATAATTTTAGAAAGCTTCTTTAAAAGGTAAATGCAGGATTGAAAAGTTGAATACAGTCAGTCATTGCAGTATATTTAATATCTTTCAGCCTTCTCTATATTGCTCTTGAAACAGTGTATAGTTTTTTAAGAAGATGTGCTTTTTTGACTTGTACTTGATACTAAGTCTTAAATGTTCTATTCTTCTACAGAGGAGTGGCTTAATTTTATTTTCCTTTTGCAATCAGGTTTACGGCTGGGGTTACAATGGTAATGGTCAGCTAGGTCTTGGAAACAACGGCAATCAACTAACGCCGTGCAGAGTGGCAGCATTACATGGTGTGTGTATACTCCAGGTATGTCTAACATGGAAATGAAAATGCATTCATGTTGCTAGCATCTGCTAAAACTGTATCTTTGGAATCTTATACCTGCTTCTAGATTTCACAGTTCAAATACTGATTTTTTTTTCTTTCGCTTCTATAAATTATATTAGGTTTATAAAAAGTGCAAGTAAGCTGTAAAATACTTGCTTTTGTAAATGTTCCGAATGATTTAAAGTTACCTAGTGTACCTATAAGTACATTATGACATGGATACAAATTGCATCTTTGTTACAAAGCTGAATGAATGAAACCCACTAGGCAAAGACAAGAAATGAAGGGGAACAAGAAAACCAAGATGTTCAAATTAGATTCTACATTAATATCCTAATTAGCCCTTCAGAAGTGAGAGGAGAGGCAAAATGAGTGTCATGGGTGTGGGGTGGGTTGGTTGGTGGTTGTTTTGGTTTCTTTTCTTCCCAGCTAAAGAATGAGACTGAAAATTGGGATTTCCTAGGTTTTTAGTAAGGTTCTGCGGAGTTTCATGTGGTAACTTGGGTTGAACGGTTGTTGGCTGTTGAACTGCAGCTCTCATAGTTTGTACAGTATTCAAAATATCAAATTCTCAAAGTATTTCAGAGTTGCAAGGCGTGATGATGGCATTTGCTGTTCTTCATGTGAAGGGTCTGCAACTGAAAGCAAGTAAAGGCTAGGGAGGCTTTGCAGTAAATTATTTAGGAGTAACCAATGAACACTAAATTAATCAAGTTGGGACTTTTCCAGTACTTAGAGTTAATGTATTTTGTATTAGCTTTAAGTACTGAGAAATAACACGTTGTAGTGCTAAATGAAGAATGCCTGAGATATTTAACATCAGCCAGGCTAAGGTAATGTGTGCAGTAATTTTGTTTCTCATCTCTGTTTTGTTTAGTAGTAATGCTTATACATTTACTTACAGATTGCCTGTGGCTATGCGCACACACTAGCACTAACAGATGAGGGTTTGCTCTATGCCTGGGGAGCTAACACTTACGGGCAGCTAGGAACTGGCAATAAAAGTAACCAGCTAAGCCCGGTGCAGATCATGATGGAAAAAGAAAGGTAATCTTGCTGAAGCTGTTTCTGGATTGATAAGTCTGAGCATGTGTTATGCGGTGTGTAGTGCTGGAAGCATGCATGTTTAGGGCTTCGTGGATTGTTCTTCTATCGCTAATGTTAAAAGCATAGGAAAGGATGGTAACTTACTGTTTACTATAGATTGAGTGCTTTTTGCTATCTGTAGTGATTATTGAAAGTATACATACTTCAAGGTTGGACCAGATGATCCTTGAGGTCCCTTCCAACCTGATATTCTATGATGGATTTGTATTTGATACTGAAAGATAATGAATGACTAAGTGTTAGGCTATTCTAAATCTGGTTCATTTGATTAAAAATTTGGAGCTATGAAATCGATAAGCAAAGCTTTTAAGCTGTATTGAGGCCTACATTAAAAAAAAAAAAAAAAAGGAGGGGGGAAGGAAGCACCACCTTTGTAGGAAGTGACCTGTGAGGAAAAAACAATTTTCTGAAAGGCTGACCATAGCCAACCATGAAAACAGAACTTGATTTGCAAGGTTGCTGGAGCTAAGGGCAGATACTATTACTGTTACCAGTGGTACTAGTCAGTAGTTTGTAGTTTCTTAGCTTCCTAGAGTCATAAAACAATAACCCTAACCCTTGTCCACCCTCTTTCAGCACCCTTGTCATCCTCATATTTGGGATGGCTCTTCTGCTGTTCACCTACAAACTTGGACCTCAGTCCCATTCTCTGGATTCATGTGTATACCTATAGATTAATGTACCTTCGTTTGGAAAGCTCTTAGTCTATAAATCCCTTAATTTGTAAATCTCTTAATTTATAATCTCCTCTTAACTAGGAAACACTTGTGGTTGGTTTTTCTCCATTTCCAAACTGTCTCTGTGGGAAGTCATTCCTATTTTTTCCTGTTTCTCACACTAATATTAAATTAAATGTTGCACAGTACTGAGATTATTTAAGAGCTTAAAAATGGGTGGGGGGAAAGAAGAAAGGAACCATCACAATAGAAGCCACTGAGGTGAGGCTGGCTTGTCTGTGAAGGAACTGACAGTAGCACAGCAAAATGAAATATTCTTTAAAAAAGCACTGGAAGAGGAATGTGTATGTTTGCAAATAGATCAACTTTGTTTTCTTAGCGATTTATTTTTTGAGTGAACTAAGAAGAACTGTTGCATTTAGAATTGTATGTGAACTCAAGCATGGGATTATAATAAAATTGGCATTTGTTCAGTGACTAAAGGAGGGAGAAAATATCATAGAACTTCTGCTTGGAATCTAAGGGAGAGATAAGTCACTTGAACTTACTCATCTTGCTTGACTTGGCTCCCTTGGAAACAGTGCTGTAAGTGGGTGAGCTGTCATTTCCTATGAAGCATATTAATGCTGCTTTTCCTCGTCCTTTCATTTATATAACTCTTTTGTCATTTATATGTAATGCTGGTGACAGTTCCTTAGGAGGTGGCATTTGATGCTGTCTTGAAGAATATTGCATATATAGCTTGTAAGGAACTTTTAGGCTTTATTTTGTCAGCTTGGAGGAACAGTTGTGAAGGTCAGCTTCCTGAATTTTGATATCAAGTATATGCTTAACACATTATCCTGTACTGTAAGTACATGTGTTATAGTACATGTTCTACTATGCTTCTTAAGTATACTGTAGTTACTCTCAAAATAAGAATCTGTTCTGCTAAGGAAAGAAAGTTTGGGGAAGGAGGTAGTTCAGGTGGAGAGCTATGATGGACAATAAGCTGTCCCTAAAATAATTACTTTATGATGTCTCATGCAGAGGTGCTGAAAGATCTCAGTGTTGCATAGAGGTTCACAAGTTGATAATGGTGTAAAACAACGCATTAGTCTTTTATGTGCCAGAAATTATCGATACATATAGTGAAAGTGATTGTAGATTCTTTCTGTGTTTTATCTTGAAATAATTTTTGCACTTAAAATGTGGGCTTTGTGCTAAAAAAGCTCTTTGCCTAAAAAGCTAACTCTTCATGGATATTGTTCTCTAAAGGAATAAACATTTTGATATGTATATTCTTAGACTGCTTGGAAAGACCTTTATTTGTCCCAGTTGATCTGTTTCTGGCACAAAAGCATGAAATCCTATGATGCATCTTTAGCATGGAGAAAAAAGAGGAAAGCGTAGCTTTTATTTTGAACTAACGCTGGAACTTCCCCTGGTTTTTGCTTATCCGGTGAACAGAGACACTGGAAACGTCCTTGCGGTCCTTTTAATGGAAGGGCGATTCTTCTCTGTTCTTATGATGTTTCAGATAGCAAGATAGGGATTGTGTGAGCAATGGGAGAACAGAATAGATAAGTGTGCATCAGAAGCTCTAATATTTTAAGGAAGTATGTGAGATGGGTGAAAATACTATATAGACTTTATTTAAAAAACAACCCTAGCTTTTCAAGAATGTGGAGTTAAATGCGTGTAGTCACCTCTCCTCAAATGAAGCACTGTCCATGTTCCATGCTGAATCTCAGTGTTGAGGAAAGGAAACTTACAGCAAAATAAGAAGTTAGAAATACAGGCAGTAGGTCAGATCTCTGTCTACATACAAAAAAGCCACATTAAAGGCAGGATAGATGGGTTTCATAATAAAGGATTTATTGAAAAATACGTAGGATCTAAATCTCAAAATGAGAGAGTTTTTGCAACATCTGTTTGAATGAAGTTCTGAAAAATGCTCTGCAAAAATCTTAGTAGTGTAACTTCCCTGCCTGTTCCCTAACTGGAAGTTTCGTAAGCTCCATAAGCATTTCTTTCTGAGCGTAAATGTCTGATGTGCATTGATTTTAAAGGGGAAAAACAAAACTGTGTTTTGCTTCATCCCTTTCCCATGGTTATGGAAGAAAAGAAGGAATGTCAACTGATGAGAATGACATAATTAAAGCAATATCTGATTACAATAAAATCTACAAGCAATCTGAAAATGTCATTGCAGCTTTTAAATATTGATCCATTCAAACAGTATCATATTCATGCCGGACAAAAAGAAGTACAGGAGTGTAGATGCATAGTTTGGTTGGCTGTTATTTTGATGAGGCATTTGGAAAGTCACTTGATTCTGTACCTGTAAGTATCTTACAAGGTTTCTTCTGTTTCCAGGGTTGTGGAGATTGCAGCCTGCCACTCTGCTCACACGTCGGCTGCCAAGACCCAGAGCGGCCAGGTGTACATGTGGGGCCAATGCCGTGGGCAGTCAGTGATCCTTCCCCACCTCACTCACTTTGCCTGCACTGATGATGTGTTTGCTTGCTTTGCTACCCCTGCTGTTATGTGGCGCCTTCTGTCAGTAGGTGAGAACAAGCTCCGATATGGCAGCCAGTGCTTTAATCTCTGTGTTCATTACACAGATACCACTTCTGCAGCGGGATGGTTCCTGCTTTAAGGAGAACTGGCAATTAAAACTAGCTCTCTTGGCTAGGTTTTTTTTCTTCTGAAGAAAACAGTCTATTTCAGCAGCTAAGGATCCAGAATAGGGTTAACAAGACTGATTGTTTGCCAGCATACATCTGGAGAGAACCCAGTTTTACCATTGCACTGTGAATATTGTGTATTTCCTACAGTTGTATTGTTTGAGCTCCAGCTCAGGACTGGGAAGGACTCCTGGATCATTCAGCATAACTTTTTTCTCTTAAAACTATTCCTTCCTCGAAGATGCTTGCTCCTGATGCTTGTTCCTTTGGCATCTAACAACTTTGAATTATAAGTGTTGTCTCTAGCTTTCCCATCTTAGTATTTACCCTTCCAATATGAATATGAAAGAGTGAATCTCTCTCCTATGTTTCATGTTAGGAAAGTAAAGTAAAAGAATTGCAAGTTTTCATTTTGTCAGATGATTTCTCTCAACTCGATTTAGTTTGACTTTCCCCAAAGACAGTCAGGCTTGTAAATAATAGTCCCTGTATAACAAGACCCTAATATAATTGTTTTCTCTGTTGGAACTCTGTTCTTATACTGCCCTGGATTACGCTTTGGGATGCAGTCTCTGTGACCAACAAATAAGCCCAAGCCTTTCTTCTTGATTATCTTTGATTCACATGCTGCTAATTCTTATTTGACCCCAAATATGCTATAAAGTACTTAGCTTGCACTTCCTTGAAAACATGAAGGTGTTTTCATGTTCAAAACATGAAGATATTTTCATCTTAGATCTGCCGCTTCAGCTATCAAGATCATTTAGGAGATCTAATCTGTTTTCATATTGACAACAGATCCCAATTTTGTTAGTCCCAGTACAAAATTGGGTTTGTGGAGGGATCACATCCTAAGTAACCTTTCTCCAGATTCAGACTTTATCCTAACCCAGCTTCTCCATCTTAACTTCTCATTTAGCCTGTTATCACATTTATAGAGGTCCAGATAACAGCATCTCTCTGTAGAGGAAAACTGAATAATTTTACTAAAGAGAGAGAAGATTAGCTTGGAGTGATCTGCTTCTGGGTAAATCCAAGTCTTGTTTTACCCTACTTCTCACTTTCTCCATTCTCCAGTCCTCTGCGATATGTGTTAGTCTTGCCCTCTGTAGAGGTCTGATGGTTGTCCAGGTCTGTTGCCTTTTGCTAATAGTGAAGGCTGTTTAAATGACATCTCCCCAGTTTCAGTACCTTTCAAGTTCTTGATTTTTATGAAGTATTCCCAGACTGAGTATAACAACGTATTTGAATTTTGTACCTGCATTTTAATTCCTCTTAGCCTTTGGGGGTTCTTCCCCTCTTATTCTGATAATCCTACTTACTGAATATTTAAATCAAAAGCATTAATTCTGAGAGCATTTTTAATCTGTATTTTCCATATGCGCTTTTTTCTTCCCTTACCTTTTTTATTCTTATAGGTTAAAAAACCCCTTTTTTCTTTTTATGTTTTTTTGGGATTTGTCTCAGTGAGAGCTAACTCTGCATAAAGGTTATTGTTCTACTTCCAGTTATGATGGCTCTGCCAAAAAAAATGAATCAGTCACTCAGGATTGGCTGTGGTGAAGTACAAATCTGCAGCATTTTTTAAGGAATGAACTTAAGGTATTTGGAGTGAAAGTTGATCTACTGCATAGCTTAAGCTAAGCTGATGACCTAGAAAAAAATCACATGAGCAAATGGAGGGGGATTGGAGCATGGTTTAGTTAGTCCTGATGAGATGCAGGTCCTGTGGATGATCCATGTAAATCGGAGGAGTGTATGGTCTTTTGTGGCACAAACACGACTTGTCTGTCACAGCAGTTTGTTATAGCAGTATTTCTTTTCAAATACCAACTAATTTAGCTGTCCCTAATGGTGAAGAGTAATTTGTGGGTTGTATACAGGTGAACAATATGCAGTCCTGTGGGACACAGGAGACAGGCCACATCCCATTGTAGTGGAAATCCACTTATTTTTCTTTTCCATACTTCGCTGCTTAGAAGCCATGTGTTTTGAAACACGCTTTTAAGATGCATCAACAGAAGCTTCAAATAGCAGGTTAAATTAGGTTTTCTAAAACTTCAGAGTCCTTGCTTTACTACAAGCCTTAGCCAACTTGTGCTGCAACTCTCATATGATTTCTAGGGACACAGAATGGGACCTCTGTAGGACCAGTGCCATAGGCCTTAATGTAAAGAACTGTCAAAAAGCTGTGATATATCAGCTTTAATCCACTTCCAAAACTGCTGAAGTCCTGCGTCCTTGGTAGTAGATACTGTGTTCTTGGTACAGTCTCTCTTCTTCAGCAGCACTGCTGCTGGATTTTGTGTTGTCATAACTGACTAATAAACTGAGTTTAATGGTGTCAGTGATAGCTCATGTTAGCGAGCCCTGGCAAAGACCTAACAGACAACCTGCTGACTATATCCAATCTGCCAGCACAAAAAAGCAGCCAACTGGTGGCATGTTTTCTTACTATTTAGGCTCAGATCACACCGTGTCCGCGCAGTTGAAGTACTGTACACCGTGTCTCACGGGAGTTGCAGGTGATGCTGTGGATTCCCATTACCAGCAGTTTGCAGGTTAGCCACAGAGACTAGTTTGCCGTTTGCAGAGCTGAGGTGACCCAGCATTAGCACTGAGCTGCCAGGAGGCTGGCAGTTTCATGGGTGGTGCCCAGGCTGAGAATGAGAAAGGAGGTTCTCCCGGTACTTTCCCGGGTGCTGTGCTACCTCTGTGCAACGAGCTGGAACGGGAACTGCTGACTGCTGCTGTCTGTAGCTGTTGTGGAGCAGCCCTTGCCAACAGGAAATGGTATTGGATTAATTCATTCTTCCCATTTCACCGCTTAAGCCAATGGAGCCCTGATACTGACCTATTTTCCTTGACATGCTCTTAGTTGAGCTGCTAGCTTTAGGTAGTGATGTGCGTGATCCATTTAAGATGCTTAACGTGGTTTTTTTGTTTGTTTTTAAAATTGTTTCTGTAGAGCATGAAGACTTTTTAACAGTAGCAGAGTCTCTGAAGAAAGAGTTTGACAGCCCAGAAACCTCAGACCTAAAGTTTCGTGTGGATGGAAAGTACATCCATGTCCACAAAGCTGTTCTGAAAATCAGGTAGTGGTCATGTTTCATAGCTCTTCTTTATACAGAATAACCTCTTAGTATCGCATCTGAGGGGGGAAAAAAAGTAAGGGGTAGGGAGGGACCCTTAAACCTGCAATATATAGCATCTATGTATCCGTAATCACTTTAAATGAAATGGTTGTAAAAGCAGTTGAATTAAAACTCTGTCTTAAAATGGTCCGTATTCAATTTTCATTAAGCCTATTTGTTGTTCCCAGGATAATAAATTCTGTTAAAGTTGGTCTGATTGCAATGTATACACAGACATTTCTGTAGCATAGATCAAATAAGAGTTTTATTTTGATGTGCAAGTATAACAATGCCTACAGTATTAGGAACCCAAATGTGGACCACTGGCTGTGATGGGCTATGCTAAAATACTTGTGAATATTGCAGAGTGCCCCAAATACATGTTTCAGGGGGACCGTAATGTAATGTTCATGTGTACTTATATTAGTGTTCCAGATGATGTCTTTGTCTCTTAGGTGTGAACACTTCAGAACCATGTTCCAGTCATACTGGAATGAGGATATGAAGGAAGTGATAGAAATAGACCAGTTTTCTTATCCTGTGTATCGTGCCTTTCTTGAGTACTTGTATACAGACAGTGTTGACCTTCCGCCTGAAGATGCAATAGGTATTGCTTATGGTCCAATTATGTTAGAAAGCAGCATCCAGAAAAACTGAGACAGGGGATGCAGGATAAATACGTTAATATAGGCTTCTAATCTAGCCTATAATGCATTTTACTGGTGATTAATTAAGCTGTCTCTAAAATACTGTTGTAGCAAACTTACTACAGCAAAAATGGTGCATATTCAGAAATAAACTATGAGCAGTTTTTTCAAGGCTGGGAGAGAAACTATTTCTCTGGGTTAAAATACTTGTGTATTTTACTAAATTTAGTCAATTATTGTTTTGGATAATATGAAAGAATCTCAGTAGATCTACTCGGGGAAAACTTGGACAGCAGAGCAAAGAGCAAGCTGTAATTCCAGCACAGATTTTTATAATGGTAGCTTTTTGCTCGCGTTGTGGTGCCTGTTTTGTGACAGTTCCACTCTCGCAAGCAGTTAGGTATGCAAATCAGTGGAACAGCTTGCGTATTTACAGAGATTAACAGGATTGTGGCATGAAGTAATAAAAGGCCTTTCTTCCTGTGTAATGGTAAAATACATTTTTCTGAATAGTGACCTACTTGCAAAAAGCATGTTATAGACATATAGAACACTGCATGCAGAATACGGATGCAACCTGTGCCCCGGGAGCATAAACTGTTGTTGAAAGAGCAGAGATCATCACAAGTGACTAATACGATGGCATTTTAATTGCAGGACTTTTGGATTTGGCTACTTCGTACTGTGAAAATAGACTGAAAAAACTGTGTCAACACATTATCAAGAGAGGAATTACTGTGGAAAATGCATTTTCATTGCTCTCTGCTGCTGTCAGATATGATGCAGAGGTAAATTTCTAAACTACAATCTCTTAAATAGGTGGCTGCTTTCTGACTTAAACTATGGAGAAAAGCAGCACATTATATTTTCATATAAACTCTCTCTCGCTTACTATCAGATAATACTATTTGCCATTTTCAGAATTTGAGAATGTTGGAATTAGAAAAAAATGTATTTGCTATGAGAGATGTATTTTTTTTTTTTGTCCATAAACCAATACTGGGAAGGTGAACTAGTACACAGATACCTAAAGATGACTTAAGTCCCAGGCTGAGAGTCAGTATCTGTAAATGTTTACGTTGCTTAATTTCACGGTAAAAGGTTATGAGCTGTGCCAAGCTTCATGAATTGCTATTTCTGGGGGCGGGGCGGGGGGGGAAGCCTGTAACAAAAAATTTCTGAGGATGAAAACACTAACTCTGAAACAAGGGAAGGGTTTAAATACAAAGCAAAACCCATAACACATTACGAAAAGCAGTCTTGTAAGCCTTAAGTTACTTATTTATAAGGTTGTGTGGTGTGTGTGATGTCATATGGTGGTAGGTTTGGGGACTGAGTGCATTGGGGTTTTTTTTTGGTTGGCGGGGTGGTTTTTTGTTGACTTTTTGTTTAGCTACAGTCAAATACACTTTCAGTTTTCACAGTATGCTAATGAAATGGCAGGATAAGAACTGCTTTAGGGGCCTAATCAATTTTGAAGACAGAGAAACAGTGTGTAGAAAGGGGGGAGGCTAGCAAACTTCCCTGCTGCATTATGTCTGATTTCTCTACTAGATCATTAACATGCTGCTTCATGAACTAACCAGGAAGTATTCCTGGGCTTGCGTCGGCTAGTAGTGTTCAGCATAGTATCTGTGCATCGATCATGTTTGCAGCTTCGCGATCAGTTAGTTTTTAACTTGCTGCTTATGCTTATAAAGCAGTTTTGGTACTCAGTAAATCAACTCATTGCTTTTACCTGTACTTAATATCCAGCAATTGGCATGCAGATGCCCTCTTATTTCAGAGCTTTGCAGCGTGTTGCTTGTTTGATACACCTTACCCAAAGGGCTGGTTGAGTGTCTGAATTGTGGCTTCAGATCTGTTGTGAATGACGACTTCTTTGGTGGGAGTTCATGGAAAATAGGAAGATTTCCACATTTTAGCCTTAAAAGATTTTTTTGGAGGATGGGCCTTCAGTATATGATTGATTCCGCTTGTAAGGGCTAAAAGAAATCCAGTTACTTTGCCTTGGCTGTACCTCACTAGCTAAATGAGGTTAGAAATGAAGTTAGAAACGTAGGCTTAAGTGCTACATCAGGGAGAGAATGGGTGACACTGAGGGGTTGGTTTTCAGTAAAAAGTGGTTTTTACCACTTTTTTTGCGGTAATACTAGATGGGGGCTTGGAATTGCTTGGGTGACGTAGTTTATTCAAGGGACCGTGCGTCTGGAAGACAACAGTTAAAAGAAGCTGCTTCAGTAATTTAAAATACCTCCATGACATGAAACTCTCCTATACTGTCTTTTTTTTGGCGATTGACTGAATTGAAGTGGCTAGAATTAGGTCAGGTCTGGCTTCTTATTGTAGCTTTTAAAGTAATCATTGGATGTACCTTGTGCCTTTATTCACTTAAGTCTCTCTTAACTACGGTTTGCTGGGAGTGCATCCATCTGTAAATGAAATTCAGCCTTTTTTTATACAGAACTTTAAATTTTCCAAAGTTACTTACTAATACTACAGTATTTCCGTTTATTGTATGCTTCTGTTGCATTGACTTGGAATATGAATTTTTTTAATAAAGTAGTGCAAAATATTGTAATGTGTATGATGTAATTTTGTTTAAAATGTTAGTTCATTCTGTTATTTAAAAAAAAAAAAAAAAGAAAACCCTCAGTGTTCAGTTCTAATAAGCTTGTCTTTTTTTGTTGCACAGATGCCACACAAGTCAAGATCTGCAGCTTCAGAATGCTTGGTTTTAGGCCAGGATATATTTTTGTATTATTGTTGTGTCAAGAACTCTCACTGGCACACAGTTGCTCTAGCTTTCAATATTGACTTTAAGTGAAAACATGAATATTAATCAGTCTTTCATACCTCATGTGGCTTAAAGAGCTCTGCGAATATGTTATGCCTTACTGCAGCACGCAGTCCGCTGAGCAGCTAAGGAAGGGTGTGTTCTCACGTACAAAGTAGTAGTTCTCCAAACTTGTAACGTAATAAAGAAAAGAGAACAGGGCGGGGAGTTGAAATATGGAATGTGGAAGAAGGAAATTTGGTTAAAAAGTTAATTCAATCCTTTAATTAAAAAAAAAAAAAAAAAGAAAACCCTCAGTGTTCAGTTCTAATAAGCTTGTCTTTTTTTGTTGCACAGATGCCACACAAGTCAAGATCTGCAGCTTCAGAATGCTTGGTTTTAGGCCAGGATATATTTTTGTATTATTGTTGTGTCAAGAACTCTCACTGGCACACAGTTGCTCTAGCTTTCAATATTGACTTTAAGTGAAAACATGAATATTAATCAGTCTTTCATACCTCATGTGGCTTAAAGAGCTCTGCGAATATGTTATGCCTTACTGCAGCACGCAGTCCGCTGAGCAGCTAAGGAAGGGTGTGTTCTCACGTACAAAGTAGTAGTTCTCCAAACTTGTAACGTAATAAAGAAAAGAGAACAGGGCGGGGAGTTGCTGTTTTGCAAGGGCTGCAGCATCCTCCTTACAGCAGCTTAGATCTGCGCCACAGAGCTGATTTCCTCCTCCAAAGAGGAGTTGGAAACAAATAATCTGAGTGGGAAGCATTCTGTGGTCAACCTTATATTGACGACTGTCTCTTGGGTTTTTTTTTTAGACATCTTTTCTCTCTGACATCACGTGGGTGCAATGATGGTTGTCTGTGAGGTTTTTCTAATCCTTAAATGGAAGGCACTTCCAAGTAGACTCAACTATCCAGAGCCCACTTTCTGCAAGAATTGCTATGCTGTATTGCTATGCCACAGTGCTTCTTTTGAATCATTTTTGGGACATCTGTGAAATGCTTTGTAACATGAGTCTGTTTCTAACGCCCAGGAGGGCCGCCTGCCTAAACTGTGCCTTAAAACTACTCAGTTAGTATACACTTGCGTTGAGCCTGGTGACATGCACCTTCAAGGCTTTAGTTAAGCCCTTAACTAAGCAGGACGTCAACCAACCTTACGTATAGATTTGAGTTTATGTTAATGGAACAAAAGAGCTGAGTTTTCTTAATCCATGGTTTTGGTTATATCTCATTACCCCAAGATCTCCTGTTTGTATCGGGTTTTAATAGCTGCCAGCGAATGCAGATGAAACTCTTCAAGTGGGGAAACCTTTGAATTATGTATTGCTCAGAATAGCTGATTTTTGTGACTGCAGCTATATAGTGAGAACCAAATTATAGTTACTTTTCCCCTTGTAACCATGTTACATGGGTAGAATTACTATTTTCTGTTGCATTTACGTAGTGGCTGTGTGGGGGAAAAAGATTGAGAGCCACGGGGTTAATGTGTTTGTCTAATTCTCTGCAAAACATAAAGCATATACAGGCATTTGTGCCTGAATGTAATTTTCTGCGATGGAAGCAAAGATAATAACATTTTTTTCTTTTTTTTTTTTTTTTTTTTTTTTCCTGTTTAGGACTTAGAGGAATTCTGCTTTAAGTTTTGTGTCAATCATTTGACGGAAGTGACACAAACTACAGCATTTTGGCAAATGGATGGTCCCCTGCTAAAGGAATTCATTGCTAAAGCCAGTAAATGTGGAGCCTTTAAGAACTGAAACGAGGCTGTAAGTTACGGGTGTTTGGAGGGTTTTTTTGCAGTTATAAGAGGATGTCATAACCGTACGGGTAAAAGCGAGTGCTACCTGTTCTCTGGTACCAGAAGATGTGAAAGGGCACAGTGAAAACAAATGTTTTCTGTGCTCAGGAGTGAACTGTTGTAAAAACGTCAAGCAAAATATTCACTTGCATTTAGCAAACCTGGATGGTGGAACCAGCTGGAGATTTCGGACGGAGAGAGCAGACACCGCAGCGTGCAAAGGATACCGGCTGGTGTTGAGGACTTACCGTTTTAGCCTAGGAAACCGCAGTTCTAGCAGCACCTGTTCCTATTTCCAATTTACTTTTTGGGGTTGGAGAACAGTCTGACCTGAGCCACTGAATAGTGCCACTTAAATCATTAATGCCCCGGGATTATGGAGAAGCAAATGGCATGGGTATCTCTTACTGCATCTGCGTGATTGTGAATGAATTTGCCATTTGCTGTGTGTCATTAACCAAGTGTATTCGGCGCTTAGAAAAGCGTGCGAAAATAATATATCCTCAAAGCCTACGCAAGTGACTTGGGAGAAAGGGGTCGCTAGCAAATCTGATTGGAAGTAAATCTCTGTATTTGGGTATACCTTACTATGAGTTGTAACGTGTACTTTGTGTAATCTGTTTAAGCAATATTTATAATGGTTAATGGAAAAAATTCCCTCTGTGATGACTTCAGATTACACTGGTTCCCTTGGAGGGGAAGGGATACGCTGTTCTGAAAGTGGGGGTTTTGCATTTAAGTGCTGTACAAATTTAAACTACGTGTAATAAAACTCACTTTTTTTGTACCTGTTTGCTTGCAGACTTCTTTGGACTTTGAAGAAAATTGCAAGCTTTTTGTGTTACATACAGCATAAAGTTGCTTTATCAAAAAAAAAAAACCAAACCCAACAAAAAACCAGAAAAACCAAACCAACCCAACCCCACAGCCGATGTGTTACTGAATCTTACTGACTTGACTGTGCTTGACAAATACTGGTCATCTCCATTTCAGAAAACAGCAAATTTATCTGTAGGCACTACCGTAGACCCCAGATCTAGCGATCTGATTTTTTTTCCACTCATAAGCCCATCTGGGACTGTAACCTTCCAGCAGGTGTGTACGGACACACACACCTACTGCTTTTGTTGTGCGCTTTTCAGGTGTTACATCCCCACCAAATACAGGTAGAGCAGAGAACCTGGAACTCCAGACGTGAAGTTTAGGTGAACTACAGGTCTAATTTGGGGGTTATGACTTTGCTAAGTTTTGCAAAGCCTAGAATTTTGTATTGTTGATAGAGGCAGGGAGCTTCTATAGCACGATGTTGGGAGTTCAGTCTAGGATAGTCTGACACAATGCTTCCAAATGTGTCATAACTGTTCCCGATAACCAACTTGTTTTGGGTGGCAAACGTAGACTAAAGGTTCCGGGGCGGAACAGCAGAGTGTAAGACTCCTCCGCTAAGCTGCTCTGGAGCTTGTCAGGAATTCAGATTGCTGCTGTAAGGAAAAAGAGCTCACATGATCTTTTACGTCTTTCCCATGACGGTGGATTTGCAGCATTCTTTGTCCCCGAGTAACAGCTCAATCCATGCTCCATGTTGATACCCTTTTGGTTTAGGTGGGAGTTTTCTAGGCAGAATAGCGGTGAGTGGAGCTGGAGTCCGTGGCTGAGGCAGCAAAGGGGCTGCGTTTCTAGTCCTGCACAGCCAGCAGGCCGCAACTGTATCAGCCAGTAAAAATAGCGGTATTCTGTTCTATCAGGCACAGGTAATAGCTCTACCCCAGGAGCTTACGTTTTGAAAGCTGGTATTCTGCGCTTACTGCTCTCCACCTTCTACAGAACAAGCTATGAATTCTTACTACTCATGGAGTGAGGACAGCTGTTTTCACAGGATGGTGCTGTAGCCCACCATGATGTGGGGCGTTTGACGTGATCGTTAGGGCGATGGATCACTCTGGGCCAGAGGCGAGGTGTAGTTAAACGATGGTATGACAGCATAGCGCCTCCTCGGCCGTGTCCTGTGCAACGTGACTAAATACACAGCTTTCTTAAAAACATTTTATTTCGTTAACTCGCCCTTTTGTAGCTAAACAATGCTTTTCTGTATTCAAATATTTTTTTTTAAGACAAAACACATGGAAGTCATATCCTTTCTTAATGGAGAAAGGAAGGTACAGTCCATTGTTTGACCCATTTTACATTGTACATATTATTATTTAGAGGATGATGCATACCTGGTTCTGGTCTGGCTGCAAACAGTTTCACCACTGCCATTACAGCAGAACTAGTTACACGTTAAGCAGTCAATCAATCAAGAATCCTTTAATTTAAAAACCCAAACGCCCGTTTATAGTTCGGAAGGCTTCTTTGAGTGCAAGTTCTGCTAATTTATCTTCTTTGGAAAGCCAAAGCACCGATGTGATCCTTAAAACATCACCCTCTAGATGCAGACAGTGAAGCAGCTACCACACAGAGTCAGGAGAGGGCTCCCACAGTTAAAGTGACCTTAAAGAGTGCTCTGTGGCAGCTGAGGCTCCTCCCTTGTCTTTGAGAAAAAAAAAAAAAGTCTTCATTGGAGGGTTTGGTTGAGCTTTATCAAAAGCTAAATTTGGTGTATAATGCTCATTGATCCACGGTAAAATTTAAAGAAAGGGACAACTTAAAAATATTGCAACAGTGAGGTATAAAAATGAGTAAAACACCCAGTTCTTGCTCGCGTCCTTATCTTGGGAGGGGAAGGGGGGAATTACGTAGACACTGACCACACGTGCTCTATGGTTTCTATCATTAGAAGATCCTAAGTATTGACACCATTACAGACAGCCTTGGGGGTTATTCGGACACGGTACTAGACGTACTAGCCGTGTTCTCTCGGGTAGGAAGGACGACTTCTTTTAAGTCCTGCAGTAGCTCAATCTTGTCATCCAGTCTTTTCCTGCTTTCCAGAAGTTCCCGGATTTTTTCCTCCGTTCCTATTATGAAAAGGATAAAAGTTTTTATTCATATGTAACTATTATTAATTTAAAATACATGTTATGTACGCATTAACGCTGCAGAGGCTACCAATGCTTAGGTTAGTCTACACTAAAACCTCTGCCTTTCCGAAGCAAAGTCTTTAGCCTAACACCCCGTACACTTGGTCTCTTCCTCGAGAGATGGAGCGTGTGTGGTACGAAAGAGACGAGCTGAAGCGTTCAAGTGCCAAAAGAAAACACAAAGCGGTAGAGTTCCATACTTCGCCATCCATATACTGTCATCTCAAAACTAGCTACATTATAGATTTAATTTAAACCATTGCAGCAAACGTAAAAATTCTTAGTTTAGTTACTAACCCAACATTATTTTGCATATGAGCTTTAACAGTTCCATTTTCAGAATGGGGACTCCTCCAATAAAGATGCATTTTAGATCTTTAAAGATAACATCTCTGAATTACACACTTTTACTTACTTAAGCAAATTTACAAGCCTAATGGATCGTAGCCAACACCACCACAATTAAACCTAAAAAGAGATGGTTTGGACAACTGCATTCAACGGCGAGATTCTCAAAAAGCATGACTCGAGCATTTAGTGTTCCTGCTCCTGGCAAAATAGTTACTGCCGGTATGCTGTGGGATTAACCAAGGTAACAAGCCTGGCTAGCATTCAGAAGCGTTACCGTTACCTTGTACGGTAACTAAGTTTGAAATGAAGCACCCGCTTTGTTCAGTCACAGAACAGACGGAGGGGTCGGTCGCCTCTGAGCAGCAAAGTCAGTCAGGGGACAGCCACCAAGTTTTCCTCGCAGTGTGTGAAGATACCAGAGTTAAGATTTTTGTGAGAAGCAAAATGTATTTTTCTCTTTTTTTGGGGGGAGACATTAAAGGAGGTCTCCGAAGTTGTAACGGGTAGAGTGGGGAAAGCAGCTCCAGACGTTTACCCCTGTTCGGTCTGAATTACAGAGCCTGAACCATCCTTAACTGTGATTTTAAAAAAAAAAAAAAAAAAGAAAAAAAAAAAAAAAAAAGCCTTTGGCCTGCTGCTGTTTGTACGTGCACACGGATGATTATGTACGCACACACACTTTCATAACGCATTTTTAAATACACTACCCCCTGAGGTGGAACGTGGATGTTGGAAACGGGCAGCCAGAACGACGGTGGTGTCCACTGCCTCTTGCAAATTTTGGGTGGCAGCTCATTGCAGAGGGACTTGAGGCTTCACTCGAGGCCAGTTCCGACTGAAAAAAGCCAGGTGACCCCTCTTCTCTCCGCTTTCCCCTGCGGCCAGGTGTCCGGTCCCACCAGTGCCCCACCACAGCCCGTGCCCACTGCTTCACGGCGGCAGCTCAGCAGCTGACGAGGCTGCGATGGCAATCGTCACCCTCGTTGCTTGCCACAGGCAGCCTTTAGGGCCTCGCCTTTCCCTATCAAGTCTCCGTGGCGAAAAGAACGAGTGGGCACGCATTTGAAGAGAAAGCTGGACAAGTGGGAGCTGGAGAAAAAAAACTCTTTGAGAATATTTGGATACGAATTAATAAATTAGCAGAAAAGAACAGAACAGAGCAAACGTGACGATTGTGTCACCGTGTTCAGCATGCGGGTGACCTGCAGATGGAAGACGTACGGCTCCACTGCTCTTCCAAAAGGATGTGGCAGAAATAGAAAGAGCCCAGAGACAGATGTCAGTGATGGGAAGGACTGGCCTATGGGAAGGCAGGTAACAGCTTGGGAACCTTCCCCCTCACGCAGGAGGTGACCTAAAGGGAAGGAGTCTGTATTTCTGTAAAACCGGGAACGGCCTGAGGAATACGGACCTGGAACGACTGCACTCGCTCTTCTCTAAGTGCTAAGGGTGGTGAAGGCACTGCACAACAGTTTTACAACCAAGCGTGGCCGCCTTTGCCGGCACAGCTAAATTGCAGAATTCACTGCTACAGCTCCCCTGAAAACAAACGCTTCCGAGGAGCTCAAAAGCTCCTGGGCAGACCGCTGGCCAGCAAAGAGAGGCTGTTACAGCTGGCGGAGGTATCGCCCCAAGCAGGACACGCGGCAACGGAACAGAAAGCAAAAGGAAGTCACTTTTCCTTGGAGGAGACAAGAAGAATCTCCAACCTAGAATTCTGAAATTAGCAGGTCCCATATGGAAGGTTTTAAACGCAGTCAAGTTTGCAGTAAAGCTGCACGCTGCAAAAGAACCGTTCATCCCTGCATACAAAAGGGACTCGCAAAAGCAGTATCAGCAAGTCCAGTTCAGAGTAACCTTGCTGTGCTGATGTGTAAGGCTTTAGAACAGGTTTTGCACGATGATCCAAGAGGTGAAAAAAAGAGAAAATGTAAAAATGGACTGAAGATAAAGCATGTCAGATGACCCCAAATCATCAGTTCCACGAAACAGATCAAAGAAAACAGTATTTACACCAGTCCTTCATACACGATCAGAGAGACTCAGTAGCTGGAGCTTGGAGGGCAGATCAGGACCAAAAAAAGAAAAAAACGGAAGCCATTTCCTTCCCTCCCTACAGATCCTCTTGTAATTAACACGCTTATCGTTCCTTTCTGACTGATTCATTTTAAGAGCTCCTCTTGGATCAGTTTTGGAACCAACCTTGATGTGTGTTTTCGTTATTGACCTTGAACTTAAAATTAGGCTGATGGTATCGGGAAAGGAGATTGTGTGGTACAGGAAGAACTGAGCTGCTCAAGTCGTGGGGAACTAGAGAGAGGAGAACTTTTACACACGAGAATCACATGGTTGTGTGTACGTAGGTGCCAATATCAAGAATTTCTCCTGTAAGCGGAGAAGAGGATGCAATAATTGATGCAGCTGTGAAAAGAAACGAGTGTGATCCAAGGCTGTGTCACATGAGGAGTTATGAGTGATGTATGAATGCCCTCAGATGAGGCACTGGCGGAACCTCGTGTCGGATAATTCTGCGACACCAGTCACTCCCATTTCCCAAAGAAGAATTTAAGGAGACTAAAGAGAGGGTCTGGCTTTTTCAGTCGAGTGAAGGTGGAACAGGGGAAACAGCAAACATCACCTTCACGCACTGAACCTCAGCGTTAGCTAATTAAAACCCATTTCCCTTTTCACACGGATAAATTAAAGCCGAAGTTCGAACAAGGCTGCTAACTGGTAGCGAGGGAAATGGGAGCAAGAGACTTGCCTAGCTGAAAAACAGCTTTAACATTGTTGCCGAGACTGGAATCCAAGCCCCAGTTTCCTTCCACAGGGGTGGTCCCAAGCGACCGCTCCTGCCCTTGTTTTCATTTCACACTGAGCACTCTCAGCTTGTTTTTCAAAGCATGTTACAACTGCCGTCAGCTCCAGGTAAGTTCTGCTCATGGCATTTAATGCTCTTAACTGAAACACAACGGCCAGTCCGAACAGCGTTCGTCAGACAGGGGACAACCTGCAGAAACAGGACAGGAGTGCGCCCTGCCGGAGAGGGAAGTTCCTCTGGGGCGGAGACCCTTTGGCCTTTTAAAGCCTCCCCCTTCAGGTCAGCCAGCCACATTTGACACACTGTTATTTCTAACGATTCAGACAGCAATGGCTTTTATTCAATTATTTATGTAATGTTGAGGAAAAAGTTCCTTGGAATGTTCATTTTAAATGGTCATTTTATCAAAACGCTCAGAAGAATAACCTCAATGCCAAAAACCATACCGACTGCTACGGCTCTGACAGCTTTTTTCACGTACCTGAATGAATATTTGTCAGTATATTTTCAAACAGTCCACAGTCAAAGAGTGACATCACTGTCTCTTCGTACTCTGGGGGAAAGAGATAATTTGATTTAATATGACAGGGTAAAGCTTTACGAAACCCTCGTGTTAATGCAGAGCCCTACAATAGAAGTACCACAAAACGATAATTACTTATTTTATATCATACTGATTGCTTGAGGTTTTAAGATGTCTTCCTTCTCATATAGTCTATATTGAGAAAGAAGGATCAATTTGTCAATTCTACTTTTTTTTTTTTTCCTGTTGTTTCATACAGAAAATAGTAAAGGGGACCTACCTGTAATTCCCTTTTTGGGTCTGCACGTGAACAGTCCGTTTAAAAACGAGCAATATACTTAAGTCATATTTCATTCCATCGCGTCAGGACTGTACGTGCAACGGCAGGGCTGACCACACCAATTCCTCTTGACAGCCCGTGTGACAGGCGGGACACTGCTATCACTGTTCGATGTTAAAAACCAGCCCAGAATTACGCCTCAGTTTCATAACTGAGGCTTCTCATGAAACAAAATACAGAACACCTACAGAGTTTGCATGGCCATTAAGAGGTTTGCTCAACGATGAAAACTTTTGAACCCCTAATGTGTCCCGGACTTCATTACTGCTTCTAGCAGCTGCTGTCACGTTACACGCAAGCTGCTCGTGAGGAGGATTTAGCCAGGTGGGACATTTCACTTCCCATGCGTGTGCTTCAGTTACTTTGCATAAATTAGCATTCTTTATCTAAAGATATTATTCATAACTTTGTAAAGCTGGGAGGACAACAGGAGAGGAAGATTTGAAATTTTCTTTTTTAACTCTGTTGCAGACAAAGCAACGGTAGAGCGGAATCCTCCAAGAACAAAGTGCTTCATACAAGCTGACACTTAAACCCATAAAACCCCCAAATACACACTAACAGCTGACATTAAAGTTCTAAGTAATCTTCCAAAGACTTCAAATGTACATAGTCAGGGATGTTTCCCTCAAGAGAGAGTGCTGATATTAACAGATAGCTGGTCCCTCTGTGAAGCTGTAAGAGCAACACAGACTTATGATCCAAATAAAACCTTCCGGTTCTCTTCAGGACCTCTGTCTTCTTCTGTGCCTGGGAGAAGAGGTCGGGCTGAACCTACCTATGCTTATGGCAACGGGTAAAAGGTGGCTTCAAAAATTCAATGTTAGAAGGCCTTACTAGAGCGTGCTGAGTTGGCAGCTCTTCCCCTCTGCTGACACAGGTATACCAAAAACATACTCACTCTCCACCTGCTGTGCAGCCGCAGAAATAAGACAGCACCCAGTTATTTGGCACTGAAGAAGCATCCTCGGGAAGGTGACCCAGGGCCGAGCGCCTGGTATTCGGATCAGCATTTCTGCTGCGAGAGCAGAGTCCCCCGTGGGCCTCCATACCTGTTTCTGAAGTGTTGTCATCCATCAGCTTTTCCTGCGCCAGGTGAAGCGTGTCCAGCATTTCTTCAAATATGTCATCCAGAAGCCCAGCTTGCTTGCATTTCCTAAGAAAGTCTATTCGGACTGTTAAAACACAAAAACATACACTCTTATACAGAAGTGATCCTGACCACAGCTGCATGGGCTTCACTCGCTTGCTTCACAAACAAAAGCTTTGGCTAAGTCCCCCTCCCAGTAACAAATATGTATGTAAATCCCTGGCTCTTCCAGCCACCCACTCGTGGCCAGGCAAATGTAAGCATTGCGCTGGGTATAAAATTACCTAAGCTCTAGATTTGGCTTCATTCATCAAAAGCAAATATCTCCACCATTCCAAAAGCCTCCCGATACCTGCAGGACAGGAAAGCAGGTGATTTGTCTTGCTTTTTTTACCCTTCCAGTCCCCGTGACCACACTGTGGACTGAACAGGCTAAAGGATAGAACACAGTGCGAGAAGCGAAGCGGTATTGGATTTGGTACGAGAATTAAGGCTACTTTTACTCCAAGTGATCCAGGCATTAAACTCATTCATTACAGCCCATGAATATACGCCTACTTTGTCAGATTTGGATTGCTAGGGAAATAACTCCCTATTTCTATTTCCTCCCAGAGCAGCAGGTCAGCGACAGGTTTCAGTAAGATCAATTCAATGGGCTGTTCAAAAGGAAAGGGCTATCAGGCAGCTCGCAGAAGTCTCCCAGTCTCCATTAAGAACAATGTTACTTTTTTCTGGAGACGTTTGTGAGAAAAGAAATGCCATTTCACTTGCACTAGATGTCCTACAAGTATTCCAGGATTCTTTACAGGTTCCCTGTTCTTTATAGTGGTAGTAAAAATTCAGAAAAAACATTAGGGAGCCACTTGCTGATACAATGCCGTGCCCATGTACGAAGCACAGAGATTCATTTGCTGCACAATTATGAAAACCTGCACAGTCGGTCAGCAAATCAGACTCCTGCTCCCTTGCCAGAGCTTGGAGAGTCACTCATCTCGGGAGAATAATAAAGATACAGTTGCAGCATTGCTGCTATCAACCATCTCCAAGCTCTGAACTTCAACATAACAGATCACAGTATCTCCTAGTTGTTCCATAAAGTGAGTCGCACCTTTATGCCTGTTTTTTCTTTCTAGTATTTGTAAACTGTTTTCTTCTGCTGTCTCTTCTGTGCTCTGTAAGAAAATCAAAACATCATACTGACATTTACTGCTTTGTTTTCATTATCTTATCTCTATATTAGCAGAAAGATTAAAAGCAGCCCATATTTCTGTGAATACAGTCAGCTTCTCTGCACAGCTAATGATAGTCCTCTTCCAGACATTCCATTTTTAAAAAGGGAAGCAAAAATTGTTTCAAAGCAAAACCTCTTTTCAATAAAAAGCCAACACCCGGGACACCACCCTCCTTCATTATTGCATTTGCAAATAGCACAGATGTTAACAAATGCCTACTGCTAACTCCCAGTGCAGACGACGTTTAGTCCCCTAGGCCTGATATAATACCAGAAGGGATGTGAGAGGAGAGAGGGAATATTTTCCTTTTCCTTTGGACAGGACACTGTCATTCTCTGCTGTTCCATGTCATACCACAGTACTACAAATAATTCTTAAGCTCTGTCACAAAACTCCACCAGCTTAAAAATGCATTGCTTACACAATGGTAAACAATTTATCTCGCAGTGATAAATCCTGGAGCCCCTTAGCTCCTTATTTGCAGTATTTGTATTGATTTCTGAGGTCACTAGCACTGGAGAGCAGTAGAAACAGCACATTACCATGGGTAACAGGTCAAATGAATCTCAGTTATAACATCAGGAACGTAAGTGGATTTACAGCTGAGAAATTCTTGGAGACAACCAGCCTACCCTTATGAGGGTACTACATAAAAGCGGCAAAGATGGTCCACGTCCCCTCACATGACCTGCCTTTAATAAGACCTGGGAACGGCAGAAGTTTTCCCCAAGGAAAGCTGGATGCTAATTCCTCTACAAAGAAGAAATCCTGATCCCCCCAAGAGTCAATGGGAGTTCCCATGCATACTTCCGTGGAGCCAACAGAATTACCTCAAAATTTAAAATAAGCTGTATTTACAGGTTTTCTAACAGCAGCCTCTAAAACAACTGCCCCTGCAACCAGAGGGATGCTCTGCTTGACAGCTCCTGAACCCTTGGGCAGGCCATCTTCACCGGCAGAGCCCAGAACTGCCTGATCTGCAAGGAAAATCTGCCACATTTACCACGAGCACAGGCTCACAAACGAGTAAGTGCCAGTTTAAAAGGCCAAGTGACTCATCAAAAGCAGTTTTTCATTGAAACTGTGTCAAGCCCTAAGCAAATCTGAGGGACGTAGTACTTCTAAAGAAAAGCAGCCCCCAAAGGGAAGCTCTTCCTGGTCACGTCAAGATCACAGCCACCGAGTCAGCCTGGTTCGGAGGTTCCTATCGCATTCGTGCCGCGTTACCCAAGGGCAGCATTGGCTCTGCCTGAAGCAGCTCCACATGCAAACATTTTTCTTTTGACAGAATGACAAGATCAACACAAGGCAGCTGTAAAGGCAGAATTACTGCTTCTGCAAGGAAATCTCTTTCTGAATACACTGTCAAAATACTTCACTAAAGAAGTCCTTTGCTGTAGCAGATGTGGGTTCCTGTTTTAGAACTACTTAGTTCAGAATTACCATTTGTTCCGTGATGGTTGAAGATTTCAATGCATGTCTTCTCCTCTTATTAGCTGCATCTAGGAATCAAGAAACAACAAAGTAACAAATGCGTCAACCTCAGACTGATGATTTCACATCATTCAAATTCTCTCTTTTCCCAAAAAGCTACAACAGTGAGGCACTTTGGGTGGCAAGGCAAGAATATGTTTCAGCTTCCCCAAATACCTGACGTTTCAGTGGAACTGACATTATTTCCATGCTAGAAAAATTACAAGCCTGACCCATTAGGAAGAAGTGCAAATCACTGTAGTGTTAGGACATCACTTGGTCTTTTACACTCAGTATAAAGCAAACCCCAGTTTTTAACATAAGATTTTTGATTGTGGTAGAGTGAACTCATTCTCCCCGGCAGCAGCACTGCCTCTAGGTGGTAAAAACTTCAGGCAAATTTATGAAAGTTGACTGTTTTTTTTTTTCCAGTCAATTCTTGTTTATGCCTAATACACCATCAAAACTAAGACTACGTAAAGAATTATTTTAGGTGTCCCAAAGATATACAAATGGCATTAGGTTTTTCATCCATATAATGACCCTCCTAGAAAGCCTCCAGAAGCAATTTGACTTGTAAGTTTAACATCATTTACGGTACAAAGCGTTTTTAGTGACGTGGTAGGAGATCTCCGCAAAACCATCTGCTTTCACCCTGTCCTTCCTATCGGCATGCCCCAGCCTCTCCCCAACGTCATAACTGGCAGCTGCTGAAAACAGCTACAGCATCACAAGCGAAGAAGGATAACTCTGGCAAGGAAGACAGGGCAGGAGCAGAGAAAGCTAGAGAAGATTTCAACTACCCACCAAACCTTGAGGGTTTTAAATGCAGTGGGGTTATATACCCCCTTCCTGTTTCACTCTACAGCCTTTGGGCAGCACTTAGTAAGGTTATTCCTGTTAGGAATCATCCTATTAAGAGGAATGAGGAGTTACTGTTGGTTCAGGAAGGCTGCTGAAACAAGTTTGGGTTTTGGGTACTGGTGCTGTACATTTGCATTTTTCATGGCCTGAAAGGAAATCACAGCCTCTTACTTCATCCAAAATAATGCTGGGTGGCCTAATCTGGAGCCATCCAGGAGACGCTGGTGTAGGCACAATGTGTTCCTTGCTGTCTAGCACAACACCTTTGACCTGTGGTAGGATCTTCTCAGCTCTTCCTGATGTTTGCTTTAGGGATGACTTATAAAACCAGAGGAACACAGTCCGAAGAGCAGCCCAGCTCTTCCTGCTCCCCACGCTGTTCTCCACTCTTCTACGCTTGTCAGCCTTTACTCTGGGCACATCCAACATTTCCAGTTAAGCAGAGGTTGGAGCCTGTTTCCAAGTCCAAGCTGCCCTCCGACCCCTGCTGCACAGAGCTGCGAGGAGACCTCCTGGCCCCTAAGGCACCCTATCCCCTTCCAATCACACAGCAGAACCCTGACAATTCCGCACAGGAATGTTGTCTGGACCAATAACAAGGGGATGTTCCTTGACCCCGTTTTCTGCAAGTTACAAGGGAAAAGAAGCCTGGAGAGACAGCCCTTTTGTACCAGCTCCTGCTCCCACGCAGCCCAGCGCTGGCTCAGCCTGCCCCAGGGGAACGGCTGAGCTACTGCACCCGAGTTGGATCCTGAAAATCAAAACTCTACCGTGGAGCCGTAGCGCTTCTATCCCAGCCTGTCTCACTCCCCGCCCCGTGCAGACCTGCAAGCACACTCAGCACAGGTGTCCCCTGCAAGTGTCATTTACCCAGCTCTCACAGCTGCTCCCCACCTCCTGGGGTACAGCTCCTCTCTCAGACAGAGGTGGGAGAAGCTCATGCAGGAGGCAGGGCAGACACTGCCAGCAGAATCCATTTACCCCTCACAAACAGAGGGTCTCCAAATTAAGCGATCTTAATTTGCAAGATCTCCCTGCAAGATCTCCCCTAGGAGAAAGCTCTCTTCTCAGGGAACAGGCCATACGTTGTATATGCAGCACTTGAAGACACTAAGACCTTCAACCTCATAAGATTTAAGCCTTCTTTATGAAGGAGGTGGTCTACGGGGCTGGACCTAATGCCTTAATCTCATCTCACACTGGAAACGAAGCAATCCTGGCCCTGTCTCGTACTGGGGCAGGAGACTACCTGGGACTCTGGACAGACCCAACAGACCGACAACTATTAGACCACAGAAACCAAATTAATTTTAAAAAGGGAGGGAACGTCAGGCCTCAGAACTATGGACAAGTAAAAAGCAAAACTACTAAGCGAAAGAAGAAGCTGCGTTTGGTTAGTGAACCACAGCAATATCAGGCGTCAAACGGACTGTATGTCTGGCTAACAAGCCCTAGACCCTATGACTAAAAGTTTAAATGATAACCACCTAGCCCACCCCTTGAGTGGCATCAGGGTGGAGCCAGACCTTGTCAAGAAGATTAGCCAAAGTTGACTAGAGTTCAGCGGGAGCACACCGCTCTTAGCATCAGTGCTCACAGTTCAGTTGAGCTTAACTTCAAAGTGAAGGCCAGGCTAGGACCCATTCCATTTTAAGCAGGACTGTACGCATTAGGTTAACAAAGTCACAGCTTTGCTTGGTTAATCCAGAGAGATTCCTGACTACCTCTGAATCAGCAAGGACCAGGACTGCCAAATGAAGCTACATTTCTGTAGCAAAGGAAGCAATCCTTAAACGGGGGTTGTATAACCCTTTTGTTACGCTTAAAAAGCTCTTTGGGATCCTTCAGAATGAAAGGCCTTATTTAAAAAAAACACTGCAGTGAATATGGAAGATGCAAATGTGAACATTTTAATGTATCTACACATAAAAATCCCAAGGTGACCACTCCTGTAACAGCCCTCTCTTTGCTAATCAAGTGCAAGCTTGTGCATCGCTCATTAGCGTGGCTCTCATGTCTCACATGAATTTTACAAGCTGCTTGGGCCTACCTGCCCACCCACAGTCAGAATTAATTCCGTGAAGGATCAGGTCCACAGTGTTTTAAGTCAGTTTTGAGGGAGATTCAGGGAAGATCAAATATAAACATTTCCTATTTCAAAAAACCTTCTCGATTTTTCTGCATACGAATGGATCTCAACCAAACCACTCCTGCAAGATTAGAAATCCACCGCTCAATTATAAAGGTGGAGTAACATTTATTTTGTTCAAATGAGTTATTGACTGTAGGATGCAAACTTTTAAAACAAATTATATCAATGAAGCCATTAAAGAAACTCACCATAGTGATTGGTCCTATTGCCTGGGTCATGTTTTGGGCAGAACACTCTAAAATTTAAGTTCGATTTTAAGAAAAAGAGAAAAAGTATTAATAAATATATAAACAGAGTTATGCTGACTGATTTTAACAGATATTTTCCCCTCTTTTCATTGAACGTAAACTGAGAGACGCTTAAAAAAATTATCAGGATTTTTGTTCAGCATTACCCGCCTAGGAAAGCACCTGCTGTAAAGTCACATACATGCACAAGCTTGTATTTTTACTTTTAAGAGCCTCGGTGGACTCTGAACACTGAAGCTTTGAATTATCAGTTCCATTACCCCACTCTCTTTGGACTTGCTCACTGTTCAAATCCTGAGTCAGACACATTTCATCTGGTGTGGTGATGAAACACTGTGGCAGAGGTACCCTTACCGAAACACCTTATGAAAACGAGATTCACGCTGGCAAGATGAAATACCACAGTACTAATGTCGCTTGATTGTAGCTACTGCTGCTCTGCCCCCTTGCCCTGTACCACTCGGGCCAGGTCCAGAATCCCTTTAGATGTATCCGCTTACCAGTCAGCTTGAACTTACAAGCCCTGCCTGAGATGCCGGCACATGCTTGGACGCCCCTTGGTGCCCCTCCCTCTCCACTGCCCGGTGGATGATGAGGCAGCCCCCAAATCCTGAGGAAGCAGGGCACCCCGTTTGAGTTCCAGTAGCTTAAAGCTGTTCAATCCATTCATGCCTTAAAGACTTTAGTAATATGTGAGATGGGAATATTTTCTCTGGTTCTAGGAGAACAATGTGAATTCCTTGGAAGAGGCAAAATGCAGCAAATACACGTGGAAATATTCCTTATCTTCTGGATACAATAATGTGTAGAGAATGTGAACCAGCTTCTATACTATGCCTTTCTTACAGAAGGATCCCAAATCACTTTTTAAGCAAAATTGCCTCATCAAGCGTGTGGTTTAGCTGATCTCTTCATTACAAATACATTTGCCAAGACTAATGCTGAAGTGTTTGGAAGCAATTTTTAAAGGGAACTGCATTTGCTAGGACATTTTCTAATTATTGTCTTTCTTTTATTTTAACAAAAAAGAAGCACTGACTTTAGAAACACAGTCTGTTTCCTTGATGAGCCAGCTTTTTTGCATTAAATTCATTTTGATGCACAAAAACACAGATTTATGCATGCCTAACAACTCAATCAGAAAGCTAAGTACTGGTGGAACCTTATTAACATCTCTGAATTTCTAATATTGCCCTTCGGAGGTTGTTTTTTTTCCTCCCCTCCCTTTAATTCTATTCTTTCCTAGTTAAAAAAACCCCTTCCTAAGTACAAGAATATCTTATAAAGAACAAACAATACCTTTTACTACTCAGGTCGCTTTATTTGGAAGCACTTCCCTACTATAATTTTTGCAAGATCGCAGTACAAACTACGCTTATTTCCCCACCTCTACTCTTACTAGCCACTTCCATAGCACTGTATGCCTTCTCTCTTTTGTTCTGCTCTATTTGTTTTGATAATCACTGCTCATCATCACAACGATGGCAACTCAGAATTTAAAAACATCAGCACTCTCTCTCTTGAAGGAATTCTCTCTTTTGATCTGCTTTTCGGTATGTTATATTTCACCATGAAAAAGTGCAGGGGGCTGTCAATCCACGTTCACTGTTTTTCAAGGCTTGCTTGTTTTGGTCCTTAAAAGACTAGCTTGATAGCCAGTAAGGACTGATCTCCTCAGTTTTGGCCTAGCGATCTTTCAGGTGTGTTGCAGGCTCAAACACTGAATAGATTCCTTCCCATTGCTGCGATGTTTTCCTGTGAAAGGAAAACATTTCCCCTATTGCTTGTGAACAGAGAATCAAGCATCACTTTAAGAGAGGAGAACATGTTTCCTTTTTAAAAAACTTTAAAAACCACACAATTTTTAAGTCTCTCTTCCCGACACCACCACCAAAACCCTGACAATAATTAGTTAGAAAATACTTGGTTAAGTACCGGTAGACTCCATTTACTTCATCCGTTTCTATTGCTGCATCATCACAGAGTGCACAGAAGTAGTGATAACTTCTGCGACAGGCTCTTTCCTCGCATCCCACAGTGGCTCCTTTCTTGCGACAGAAGTTGCACACCTAGAACAGGACGAGGTTTAGCAGGTAAGCGTTCCAGATGGCTACCGAAGATCTTGTCATACGAAGCAAATCCTATCCTCCGTGGGAAAATCAAATCTTTTGTTGCAAGTCGCCCCTGTATAAATCATCAGCCAAGTTCACTCCTGCAAACTCCAACCCTGGTCATTACTTCAGCCACCTTTTTGCTACCTATTTCATACTGATGAATTTGTAAAATGATGCAAAGAGCCACGTGAGGGCACTGGGCAACTTCCCCCCTTCCCCTAAATCTCACCCAAGTTATTTCAATACCTATTGGTATTAGTGCTTGTATTTATGTTTTCCAGGCTAACTTCGTAACAAAAAGAGTTCCGCCCAGGATGTAAGGGAGGAGGGCAGCTGAGGATAAAGCCAATTAAAAACCCCTCATATAAATAACCTTCCTTCTGCTAAAAGCAGAAGGTGTTTTCCTTTACACTTATGGATTGCATAATTTTGTTTCAGGCACTGGCTTAGTCCTTTACCAAAGTCTCTTAGGGAACTTATCGACTAAGGACTGAAAGGCCAGAAAAAACCAACACATTTTAATACAAAATGAACTGAATATCACCAAATACAATGTCAAATCAATGTTTCTAACTCTAAATCTCTAATTTCCCTAATTTTAGGAGAAAGAGTGCATTTTTTCTTTCAGGCATAAAACAGGCCAGACAGCCTTCAGTACTATGAGACAGGACTAAGTACAGATTCAGAAAGAAACTCCTTACCAGCCGCTTTCCTCTCTTGAGTTCTTTCAACACTGAAGCCACATCGAACCTTATATCCAGATTATCTGGGTTATACTCTTCAGATTCCACAAATCCTGAGGAAAATAACTAAAGACAAAAGAGATGATATTAAGAACTAATAGAGGGACTCAGTCACCAGTGCATTCCAGAGAAAAGAAGGGAAAGGTACATCTTTTCTTCTTGCACTTGCCCTACCTAAAAAAGGCTGATTTTTCTCTGTGTTTTTAAGAGGTTTCACCTACACTGAACAAAGAGCTGTGCTTAAACCTTTTCCCAGTCAAAAGAAGTTCCTCTGTCTATATAGGAGGTTTCACAAGACCTGAAGGTGAACTAAGAGAAGACAGCAAGGTGAGAAAGTGAACTTAGTAAGAAATGTGAATGAAGAAAGTCTGGAAGTCCAGGCTGCCCAGAGTAAGGAGGAGAAGCTCTTCGGCTGACAGACCTCCACACCTTGAACATCTTGTTATCTGCCCAGTTGTTCAGGCTTACAGCTGGATGCAACATTTCTCTAATAAAATTTCCATGCAGTCCAATACTGACAACTGTTGGCTGCAGGAGAAACACAGAAACATTGTACAAAGCCTGGGAGAAACCCGCATAAATTGCATGCATGCACATCCGGGCCACTTTAATTCCCACAGAAGTGCTGAGCCATGGCAATAGGTGAGGAAGGGGAAGTTCTTAGCTATATATAATGATTAGAAAAAGTTGCTAATTCCAAACAAAAGTGAGCTACCCTTACATCAACTGGCAGGCACAGTCTGTCTGCTCAGAAGGTGACAGCTAACTGCAAAAAAGCCAAACAACGCAGAGAAGACTAAGGCAGAGAAATTAGTAAAGGGGGTGGGGAGAGAAAAAGCTTCAAGACTGAAGCAACATTATAGCCCTAACAAACCTTTTCAAACAAAACATCCAAGTAATGCCGTAAAACAGGTATCGGATTTTTCTGACACATTCTGCTAAAAAAAAAAAAAGGTAGTAGAAAAATAAAGATGTAAACATAAAAACCGCAAGAATAAGAAGGCTCCAACAGCGAAAGCCAGAAAGCTGTTCCAGCAGCAGACATCTCCTGCACTAAGAAACCCTCACTGAAGGGAGAATATGGCATCTGTAATTGATTCTGCATACCAAGAACCAGCTCTACTACGATGCCAGAATAAAGGGGAGGCATTTTGACAGCAAGAAGAGTAAATACATTCTAGGATCACAGCACACTTAGGGCTTCCCAGATGTTTTTATATCATCAACTTCTGATATTTTCATTCCTTATTTTATATAAGGCACAGACTGGGAAGTTTTTTACCTCGATATATCAAGTTATGTGAATATTTTCCTGCAAAGGTTTAATTAAATACACAACTTTCTGTGGTCTGAGAGGCCTCCTTCAATTTAGTGTCTCAAGAAGACCCATTCCTACTGAAAGACCGTATGTGTGTCTAGAACTGTTGATCAGGAACAGACACACATGAAAACACCACAAATCCACGTGTCCAGCTGTGCAGCCGTGTCCTCCGACTCTCCAAAATTCTGGCCAAGGCCTGTTGCTTTTCATAGCTTTTCAATCTAATATAAGCTTGCTGGTTTGGGTAACCAGCCTTTTAATTCAGACACCATTGTAGAGTCAAAAATAGACAAGCAGTGGAAACTTCCCCTTTAGCCCTTCTCCATTCCTCTTAGGTACTGACCAACTCAAAGCCACTCACCAGACAATCCTGATGAGCTGCAATATTTCGCTCTTTGGCAATATACATTACAGAACCAGCCTCCCCTTCTGAACAAAATGCACACGTTCTTCTCACCATCTTCGCCATTATCCAGAAAGCACCTAGAGCAGGAAAACTGGGACAAAACACAAAGCAATTGATGCAACAATCATATGCCAAGCAGGACGAACAGAGGAAAGCAGAGTTTGCTAGCACTTGCCCTCTAACTGCTCCTTCACCTACATCTCTTGAACCTTGGGGGCTTTGCTCCTCCAGCAACAACTACTAATGGAATAGACAAAGCCTGCTCTTGGGACAGCAGTGGAATGGAAACCAGCTCCCAGGAGCTCTAGCAGTTAGAGCAGGAGAAAAACTGGTTTATTTCCTCTTGGAAAGTCACTAACAAGTCACAAGAGGTAATACAAGTTTTCAAGCTTGCTCAGCAATATCTGCTCCAACAACAGGCTCAAGAGCGGGCCAGCAAATCATGGCCTAGATGGGAAACCCCTTTTATTTGGAGGGGGTCAATCATTCGTAGCAGTCCTTTCCTTAAGCTAGTTCTGCCACATGTGAGTCTGCAAGTCAACCGAGGAGAGAAAATTAGCTGTCCCCAAACTTCTCCAGTGCCTTCCAGGAGTTCACAGAAAACAGGGAAGAAACGCTAATTCCTTAGTGTAAAAAGGATGTAGCAAAGAAGCATGGAGAGGCTTGCAAGTAAAAGGGGGCAGAAGACAGAGTCAGAAACGAGAGATTTGAACATTTTCTCATAATTTTCTCTGTACCCTGGGATTTGCCCCATGGACATCTGTTCTCTTTTTCTGGCCATATCCACTCAAGTCTTAACTGTTCTTCTTCACACAGTCTCTCTTTTCCCCTAGCAGCCGCAAAATTTTAAGGCCAGCCACTTATTTCGCAAAACAGTCTAAATGCTTCTGGATAAGCCTTTACCCACATACCCCACCAGTAGTTTAGAACATCACACCACACATTAGTAGCAGAAGTTTTACTTTGTCTGTAGTTTCTGTGCAAGTCCACCGCCGAAATCTTCAACAATTTCCCAGTCCTACTAGGTGTGATACTCCAAACTGCCCTTTGCTGGAGATGTCACCTCTGACAGCACAAAATCCTGTAGGATAACGTAAGAAAAGTCGGCTTTTACTTCCAAGGAATAAGAAGATTTGACGTTAAATTATTCTAGTGAGAGAGAGGCAATAAGGTCTAAGTACAAAACAGGCAGGAAATCTCACAGCCCAGCAAATCTCGCAACGTTTCTGTGGCTTTCAACAGCCAACCTCTGTTTTCATTAGTTCCCATCTCCCTTCCATGAAACAGAGGGGGTAGTCTCAAGTGAGAAGAACACCAGAGTAGAAGGAGATTTTTTTTTCCCCTCCAGCTCTGCCGCTGAGAATTTACTTAATCACAGCAAGTCACTTTGCCTCCACACACATCTGGGCTTTTCCCCCCCCGTCCTTCTATTTCTTGTAAGCAAGGCAGGGTAAAGACTGATTTCCAATATCCGTCTATACAGTGACCATCACATCAGTCTCAGAACTTAAGCATTAAATAAATACGACAGAAACAAATAGAAACATATAGAAATAGAATAGAAAACAAAGATGGAAAAAAAAATTAAAAAGCAGAACAAACTAGAGTTTGAGTGGTCTAGAACTGAGGAAAAGTTCTCTGCAGCAAGCTAATACCTGGAATCGATGCAGATACATAGGCCCTGCTCAGGCCCAGTCACAGGATCCAGCTTCAGGGGCTCTGGGAATTTTGTGAGGAAGAGGCTAAAGGTGGAGTCTACAGTCCCTGGTGTTCTTGCAGGCTCAGGAGAAATCCTAGTGCTGCAGGAGAACAGAAGACACTCCGTCAAGGTCAGCCTTTGGGTTACTCCAGCGCCTTTGCAGGAACCCTGAAGCGGCAGAAGGACAGCTCTTGGCCATTCCTCCCTGCAGAAGCGGCCAGCCTGCACCCGCTGCCCCGTTTAGCTCAGTATCCTGTCCCCCACAGGAACACTGCTTCGGCCCCGTGTTCTTCCCTAGCTTTCTGCTACAGATTACCGCCAGGGAGAGGATACTGAGCTCACTGGGGCAATGGATCCGGCTGGCTGCTCTCAAGGGAGAAGGGAGAGGCTAAGGGCACGGTTCCAGTTCCATAGTTTAATTGCACTTTGCCTAAACAACCCCTTCCTTTCGCAGGTCTTAATCCTGCCACTCACAGATTCCATTTGACACCCCAAGGACAGGATCTGCCTGGAAAGGCAAGAAATCCTTGTTCCTTACTCAGCTCCTCCAGTAACACTTGTGACAGCATAGATCTGTTATTATTTCTCCTACTGTCTCTTTTTCAAGTTGAAGAATCTGAAACTATTTAGTTGTTCCTTGTAGAGAAGCTGCTCCACATCTTCGATCATCCCTGTCACTTCTCAGTCTCTTCTCCACTCCTTCTATGTTCCAAGAGGAGAAAATGACCTTCAAAAGGGCGGGCTACCATTTACAATACAAAGTCACAATGGCGCTCTGTATTTTTCTCATCTTTTCTTAGGAATTCTTAATATTTCAATCACATTTTAGACTGCTTCTGAGCATGGAGCCGACACTTTCATAGAACTATGTATTATAGTCCCCCAGATCTCTTTCCTAAGTGGTATCCGATAGTACGGAGGGCATCAGCGTTAAGACTGCTGCTCTGACACGTGCATCATTTTCCACTTATCAATGCTGGATTTTTACCTCCTATTTTATAGTCAAATCACTCACTTCACAAAGTCCTTCTGCAACTCTTCACAGCCAGCTTTCACCTTCACTGCCACAGCAGTGGACTGTGGAAACCTAAGGCGACTAATTCATCCATAAGAGCTGGAGGCCCTTCCACTGCCCTCCGCTAATGACAGAGCAAATGAAGTTGCAAAACAGAGGACAGAAGAGAAGCAGCTGAGGGAAAGCAACAGTCACATGCCTCTGGCGGCTTCTCCGGTATCTCTGTCATTTCCTACAAGCACTTTCTTTTTCTGCAACAGTGACAAAATGGAAGAAAACTGGAAACGAAACAGAAAGTAAAAAGGGACAAGAACATTGTTAGCAAGTGCACAGGGATTGTGCTGCTTCCAAAAATACCTTGCTGAAACATGATCAGTTTGTCTAAGTATTTCCTCTCCAGAACCAATTCTCAAAGCATCCTTGCACATAAATACACACATTTTACACAGGAAGAAACTAAGGCACCAAATGTCACTCAGCACATCTGCAGGGGAGTAAGGAAAAGAACCCAAGTCACCTGACTTCCAGCATGCTACTGAAACCCACTGCCCTAGCTCCTACTCTGCTCTCCTTTTCATCCCAATATAGTGAAGGATTTGATCTACTGAAGTAGGGAGAAAGAAGGAAATTACACATGTGTTACCCCACAATCACCACGTCCTCCATTTGCACGTTGTGGGAGAAGATGCACTGCTGGTCATATAGTAGCTGGGCATGACTTGCGCAAGCCCCCTCCCCATTCTCCCCCAAGTCATTAGCAGCATAAACACACTCAGCCTTTGCAAGGCTTTCAGAACAAAGCCAAAGAAATCTATCTTTCTGATCACCTTTCACTTGCTACAGGGGAAATATTTTTAAGAATATAAAAAAATATTTTATTTAGAAAGGTATATGTTAACATATCTGATCCAAGTGATTGGGGTGACTGGAGGGTTCCTCATTAGATCTAAACTCTCACCTATTCACAAGATTGCGGAATCACAGAATGGTTGGGGTTGGAGAAGATCATCCAGTCCGAGCCCCCTGCCACGGGCAGGGACATCTTCAACTGGATCAGGTTGCTCAAAGCCCCGTCCAACCTGACCTTGAACACTTCCAGGGGTGGGGCATCCACACCTTCTCTGGTCAATCTGTGCCAGGGTCTCATCACCCTCAACGTAAAAAATGTCTTCCTCATGTCCAATCTAAACCTACCCTCTTTCAGTTTAAAGCCGTTGCCCCTTGTCCTGTCACAACAGGGCCCAAGAAAAAGTTTCAGTCTTTCTTATAAGCCCCCTTCATATATTGAAAGGCCACTGTAAGGTCTCCCTGGAGCTTTCTCTTCTCCAGGCTGAACAACCCCAACTCTCTCAGCCTGTCTTCGTAGGAGGTGTTCCAGCCCTCTGACCATTTTCATGGCCCTTCTCTGGACTCGATCCAACAGATCCATGCCTGCCTTGTGCTGAGGACCCCAGAGCTGGACACAGCACTCCAGGTAGGAGATGTTTGGACTTGTATTGTTAGAGGTTCTCAATCGCTGATGCACTTCATAGAGGAACACTTTACCCTCTACTGACAGGCCACTTCCAGCATTGTAAACACAGCAGTGCCATTTTTAAGAGATTAGCAGTTCGTGCCTTGCTACGTCCACTAAGCACCACACTGCAGAACTTGAGGAAGAAGGATGCGGATCGACTCTCCACCCAGCTGGACACCTGGGTGCTGAGGCGGGGCTGGGATGGGGCATGCTGAGGTGATGTCTTCCCTCATACCCCAGTGCTTCGAGGCCTAGCGGGGCGAAGTTGGGCCTGCCTCGGCCCTGAGCCTCCCGGGGCCCCAGGAGGCTCAGGG